TTGCCCGATTAAAGCGGTTGAATCGGTCGGTTTATCGGTTAGGCTAGTTAAACTGCTTCCAGGCCCATGTCCAGTTAACCATACCGATTCGATTTTACAAACACTTATTAGCGTGGAGAAAAAATTGGGTTTTGATGTGGACTATTTTGTAATTAAATAAAAATAAATGTTAAAGTTCGTAATTTAATAGAAAAAAAGTTGAAAGTGGGGGATATATGTGCCAATTCTAAAAAATAAAGCATGTCCCAGGGTTTTGTACAACCCTAGGGGTTTATATGGGAGTGACATTTTGAGGGTTAGGCTATGGTTTATTTTCCCAAAATAATAAAATAGACAAATGAATAGGCATGCTAAATGGGCCGAGTGGTCCTATATGTTTTTTGGGCTTACCAGGCATGCAGGCCAACTGAGCAAAATTTCTTGTATTTTTCGAGCTCGGTCCGGTCCGTTAAGTATTCATGATTATGATGGCCCGGCCTAAGCCCTTTAGCATCCAGGCAACATGCCCTTCCCGGAATCCCGCGGGCCAGCCCGGTTCATTATCGGCCCCAATCCCAACCGATGAGATATGAACAATACATCGTACAAGATGGAATTTAATGTCCATGTGATGAGATTGACATATATTCCAAATGATGGACATCCACCAAGGCAGAGTTAATGTCCTGCCTACTTACAATCAAAGTCCATGATGCACATGCACATGCACATATGATGATGAACATTGACCTAAAATGATGAACATTCACCCGGTGTTAGACCGTTATCATGAAGAGCATTCACAAGAGGAAAAAGTTTATATAGAGCTTAGGCTCTAAACAATCAAATTAAAGCCCACCTCAAAATTTCACTAGAAGAGGTTGTTTTGGTCTTCAAATATCCTCTTGATCATCTTAACATCAAAATGAACGGACATGAGAAAAAAATGGATTTCAAATTTTGAAAATAATGCATCTTGTAACGTATTTTTAGACTGTCAATTTTCAAGATTTTCAAGTTTTTATAGATATGCTGTACGCTATTTTGAAGTTTTGAATTTTATAATTAAAAATAAAAATAAATTTTAAAGCTATCACAAAGATTTCCATTGAAACCACATTTCTCAACTCTATTCCAAGGTGGGCTTTACTTTGATTGTTTATAGCCTCAGCTCTATACAAACCACACCCAACCCCTAAATATAAATAATTTTGGCAATAGAAATATATAAACACTGGATGTTGGTGCATGGTTTACTCCCATCTTAATCTGTCCACCATCAAACCACCTTGAACATTGGGGTAAGGCATCCATCCGTCCATTACAATCCTCTTTATTACTCTCCTAATTAGGTTTCTCTCCATGGGTGAATAGAGGAGTTATGGCACATGAACAATTGAGTGCCCAAAAAATAACGTTAGTTTGCAGCTAAATTGAAATTCCCTCATTTATAAAAACAATAACCTTTTATGCTCCCTTGGGAGCACACTCTCCATTTACTCCTTTAAGTAAAACTCAATTAGACTAAACTTAAAAAAATGAAAAAATAAAATCCACATTGTGTATGTACTTAAAAATAATAACGTCTCAAGAGTGAACCACAACGGTCCAATTTTTTGCAGTTGAGATCGAGGTTTTAGAAATTTTAAATTTTGAAATTTTTTCTTTTAAAAATAACCATCCAATGACTTTTAGGCAGTTCCCAATATTTTAGATTAAATAAATCTTCTCCCATTAGGTTTTCTACCTAAGGGAGTAGATGGACAATGTATGCTATATAGTATGCATGTTATTTGTCAAATGAAATGTATATTATGAGACCATTTATATTTCTTACAAATAGATTACAATTATTCTTAGCCATTGGATGTCATATGAGATGGCTTGGGTGTATCATAATGTTCAAGATTTGAAATCCAAATGACAAGAGCGATTATGATCTCAAATAAATGGTCTCTTTGTATGTTTTTTTATTATGAGAAAAGTACCAAAATATCCTTCTAATGTTTCTAATGGTTGTTGTAGTTTTGCTACCACATAGAAATGATGCAAAGCGTGCGCAAGGGCACTTGATAACTCACTTTGCACTTCACCTGAGCACGTGTGTGGGTCAGGCTCGTGGCTTTTTATTTTTTTGTGAGACCGGTTCATAGGGAGATCCAACAATCATCGAGCCGTTGATGCGTGTGGGAGATTCAACGGTCAGCTAGCCGTTAATGAGATTGAGGCTTGTAACAGCAGCCATCAAGTGCATGTAACTCATGTAACTTGTAGTTGTTGAGGTGCATATAACTTGTAGCTGTTGGGGTGCATGTAACTTGTAGTTGTTGGGTAGTGTATATAACCACCACAACACTAAATGGGCTGCCTCTTGGTGCTCTATTACAAGGGTCATCCTACTCATACGTTTTGAGATACTTAGAACAATTTTGAGCCTCTCTCAATAGACCATTCTGCAATTTCAGTAAGCAAACCAGTGGGCTAAAATTTCTCTCTCTACTCGATTTATCTCTTTTGATCTCTAATACAACAAAACTTTGGTGTCTATTGTGTGGGGTTCTAAGCTCAAGTGCATAGAGCTTATGAATATTGTATAAGACCTCTTTGTTTCCTGTATCTCGAGGATAAATTGTCCTTCTTATGCACACCAATTACTCAATCGAACGATGGGCGAATATCATCTTGAGATAATGCTCCTGCATTCCTGAAAACAAAGAAGAATTTGAGCTTTGCACTTTGTCCGAGTACATGTGCGGGTAGGGCTCGTGTCTCGTTATCTTTTTGTGAGACCGGTTCATAGGGGGATCCAACGGTCATCTAGCCTTTAATACGTGTGGGACATCCAACAGTCATCTAGCCGTTAATGAGATGGAGGCTTGTAATAACAACCATCAAGTACATGTAGCTCATATAACTTGTAGTTGTTGGGGTACATATAACTTGTAGTTGTTGGGGTTCATATAACTTGTAGTTGTTGGGGTGCGTGTAACTTGTAGCTGTTGGGTGGTGTAAATAACCACCACAACACTAACGGGGCAGCCTCTTGGTGCTTTATTACAAGGGCTATCCGACCCATATGTTTTGATATATGCCTCTCTCAATAAACCATTATCTGTCATTTTAACAAGCAAACCAGTAGGCTAAATTCTCTCTCTCTATTCCAATTTATCCTCTATTCTATTTTATCTAGTTCTCTCTCTAATACAACAAGACTCTTGTGTCTATTATGTAGGTTCTAAGCTCGGGTGCATAGATGAACATTGTATTAGACCTTTTTGTTTTTCTGTATCCCGATGATGAGTTGCCCTTCTTATGTACACCAATTACTCAATCGAAGAGGGGGCAAATATCTTCTTGAGATAACGCTAATCAATCGAAGAGGGGGCAAATATCTTCTTGAGATAACGCCCCTGCGTGCTTAAAAACAAAGAAGAGTTCGCGCTTTGCACTTAGGGCTAGGAATGGCTAGATGACCTAACCGTCTCTTAGCCTAAAAAATTCAGGCTCAGGCCAACCTTGGGTCTTGCTCTTTCAATTTGTGCTCAAACTTCAAAGATTTTTTTCAAACTTTGTGATGCACTCTCTATTACCCAATTTCAGATTAAACCTATACTCAAGGACCAATCCCAATTCTTTTATTTGGATGCACGTTGTTCGTCACAGGGGCGAATTTATCAAGCTAACAAAATGGGGATACTTTTGCTCATTTGTAGTTAACAAGGAGAGGTTGTAGTACTTTTCCCTATTTTGTTTTCTTTTACTTTGAAACGTTTAAAATGGACTACCTTGGCCACCCATTTTTGTCTTGATGCTTCCAACACAATGCAAAATAGTTACTGAAAAATATGATCATTTATTTTTTGTACAAAGAGGTCATAATCATCCTAGGCCATTAGATTTGAAATTGGGTGGCTAGAGGTATGTATATGCCATTGACCAAGATCAATAATATCAAACTGTATGATACACCTCAAGTAGTTGAATTTGATATGGGTGCAGTTGGCATACAGACGCCTCCATAGGTGTAGAGGTATGGTACCCTTCAAATTTTATCATGGTATATAATTTTGTTGTAAAATGTTATTAGGATTATCTCAAAATCTATTTTCATATTTAATTATAAAATTTTAAATTTAAAAATTGGTTAAAATCAAGTAGATCTATAAACATATGAAAATCTTGAAAATAGACGGTGTAGATAATATGTTGTAAAATGCACTATTTCTGAGACTTAAAATCTTTTTATTTTTCATAGTCATACATCTCGATATCGAGATGATCAATCAAAGGGTTTTTCAACATTAAAATTAATTTTTCTGATGGATTTTTGAGGGGCATTTGCAGTTCTACATTATAAGGTAGCATCCTTATGTAAACTTTTTCCTTGATATATAGCTAATAAAAATAACTGACCACTTTGAATGAAATATAAGTAATCCTACCACAAATGCCAGTAACCTTCCAACATACAATCCCATAAAAAAGAAAAGTGTTATTGAAGTTAGAAAACATTCAAATTTTCATATGGATCTCGAGATATATGGATATAAAAAAACAAAAGAATTTCAAGAATTAAAAATAGTATATCTTTTAATAAGTTTTTCAGACCGTCAATTTTCAAGATTTTCAAACATTTATAAAAATGCACCAATTTTTAAATTTCGGATTTCATAATTATTATTGAATATAGATTTTCATGCTATTATAATATTTTTGATACTCGAACTATATATTTCGATAAAATTTAAAGGTACACCTTATTTATATGGTATAATGAAGTAGACACCTTTAACAAACCTGACCCAAAAAAGAATAGGGTCACTCATATTTTAGGAATAACTATATTTCTGATAATTTCCCATTAACAAAAAAAATCTACGGGAGAATGCGAAGATTTAAGCAGTTTGGTTTTTTTTTTTGGTAATTATGTGGAAGCAGTTTTGGGTATTGACTTTTAAACATAACATTAGGGATAATCTTGTTATTTAAAAAACAATTAGGGTGATGTCCATATTGTCTATCGAGCTAATTTGAAATTCCACACTCCGGTTTTTTAAAGGGAATCGAGGAAGGTGGAGGGACGATTCTCTGGCCCCTCTGTCTTCCCTCCATTCCCGAAATTTGGGGTTTAAGAATTCGAACCTCTTGCTTTTACAAGTATTTGGTGCCTTAGAGGCCGATTTCTAAACCCTAAATTTTACTTTGGGGAGAGAGAAAACTAAGTGTTCAAGGATTTACAGAGGGGGAAGTTAGGGTTCGTTCTTTCTGATACATATTGGAAACGTGATTTTGTTTTTGGTCGAATTGAAACGCTAATATGAGTAACCAGGCAGCTGGTACGAGAAGGCAAACGCTCGGCCAGAAACGGGGGCCTTCGACTGTGAAGAAATCTGTGAATTTAGAGAATGGAAGCAATGGCCATCCATCTAAACCTTCGTCTCCTAACCAGCCATCGTAAGTTTGAGCCTTTCAGCTATGTTAGGGTCTATTTCAATTGGATTTTTGTTTTTTCAGAAGTTCTTGATTGCCTTATTGGTTGAAATTTGAAGTTTTCTTATTTGGGTTTCTGATTTGTGGTTCTCTGACTATTTATTGGTGAGTTGTCTCAATAATTGTGTTAGGGCTTTGGGTATTCTGTTTGGGGTTTTCTGATATGGGCTTATTTGGGTTTTCACTAAATGGCCACAAATTTTTATATGAAAAGATAGTCCTTTTTCTCTTTCTGTTGTTTTTCCAATTGTTGGTAAGCACAGTTATCTTAAGTTGCGGTCGTTTTTGTACCATGAATGTAATATATTATTTTTAACAGATCAGTAAATGGTGAGAGGACTGTAAAGAAGCTGAGATTATCAAAGGCTTTGACGATTCCTGAGGGCACAACAGTTTCTGATGCCTGTCGACGAATGGCCACACGTCGAGTCGATGCTGTTTTACTTACAGATTCAAATGGTTTGCTCTCAGGAATTGTTACTGATAAGGTTATTTCACATTACTTCTTCTTTTTGGGTTGCCCCAATTTTTGTATGTTTGGGCATTGGGTTGCATCAGTTTTTTTAAAATGGTTTTGGATTATGTGTTGTGATGGTTTGTTTTGTCTTCAGGATATTGCTACAAGAGTCATTGCGGAGGGATTACGTCCTGAACAAACAATTGTATCCAAAATCATGACTAGAAATCCAGTTTTTGTCACGGCGGATTCATTGGCGATCGAGGCATTGCAAAAGATGGTCCAAGGTCAATTGCAGAACTTGCCTTTTCTTGTCCTCTCTATCTTTTTTATTGCCTTGAATGCTCACTAGTAACATTGCATTATTCACCTTCTGTTTTAGCATCATTCCTTAAGTTTGAAGTGGTACTGTTGAAACTTGCAATGCTTGGTTCAAAATCTTACCCATTGTTTAGCTGCAAATGAAAGTGAATTTTCACTGTTTCAAAATGTAGACGCCCACTTGCCACATACTGCATTAAATCATTTTGTGGTTTGAGGTAGTTTAGCTGCCATTTTTTTCAAATCCTTGTATTAGCTCAACACCATGGTCCTTTCATCCAATGTTGTTAAGACTCGACTGGATGTCGAACCACTGACAGCACCTGTCATGTCAAAACGGCCAGTACACAGATAAGTACATGAGATTAGGGATGCATGAAATTTTTTCATGTGTTTGTGATATAGTCCATGAGAACATTCTGAAGGCTACTTTCTACTTCTTGTTGTTGCTAATTCATTTTATTGATCACCTGTTTATTGTCTCTTTCTCTTTCTGTGAAAAATCTGTTGCAGTGTTTGTGCAATCTGGTTTTCATGTATTGAACCAAGCTTGCTTACTCTTCTCCTCTTCATTCTGGCAGGAAAATTCAGACATCTCCCTGTTGTAGAAAATGGTGAAGTTATTGCTTTGTTGGATATCACAAAGTGCCTCTATGATGCTATCTCTAGAATGGAGAGAGCTGCAGAACAAGGAAGCGCCATTGCAGCTGCTGTAGAAGGGGTAGAGCGTCAATGGGGAAGCAATTTTTCTGGTTGGATATAAGCTCTTCTGATATATTTCTGAAACATGATTTTATTATTATGTACCTTATACGGCTATTGGTGTATGACATTGATAAATGTTTGTGAATATCCATTTAATATAACCATGTCAAATTGCATTTGTGAATACTAGGGCATACTGCTATACACCTTATTCCGTTTCCATGTTACTCTGTATAGTGTTATTGACATTGATTGTGCCTTAAGTGATGTGGGGTACAACTATACATCCTAATTTTACTCCCAGATACCTAGACAACTTCTGTTGAAAATGATAGTTCGGTCCCTCTTTCATCATTAGGATGGCTTACTACAACTGGTACCTATAACGAATTGAATGATTGTAGCGAAGCTGTTATTCTTACCCGTGTCTCATGGGTTGCATACTAGAACAAGATGGATGCCTGTTCATGTCATTCTGTTTGCATCTATGTACATGTGAATATTCAAATAAGTACATATCTGCTGAAGGAGTATGAACCTTATCAACGGCCAACTCAAATTCTTCTCCCCTAGTGGCAACTTCTTATATATAGAAAAGCTATACATGGTGTCATTTTCATGATTCCTTTGGCTGAAATTTGTGTTCTTGTTTGTCATATCATGCTTTGAGAGGCCGGAAGCCCATCATAATTTCCTTAGTTTATTCTTATGTGGTATGCTTCTAATGGAGGCCATTCCCTCTTAACTGCAGCACCATATGCTTTCATTGAAACTCTTCGGGAAAGGATGTTCAAGCCCCCATTGTCGACAATTGTTACTGAAAACACCAAGTATGCTTTGCATAATCCTAAGAAAATTAATCTTATCATTCCTAACTGGCTTTACATTGCACAAGTAGGTTTGCATTTCACGATCTGAAAGGGGATATGCAAACTCTGATTGTTATTTTGTTTTGCAGGGTAGCAACTGTTTCACCATCTGATCCTGTCTATGTGGCTGCCAAAAAGATGCGAGAATTACGTGTGAATTCAGTAATAATTGTGACAGGAAACAAACCTCAAGGAATTCTTACGTATGTATTCTTTCTTTAGTTGTTCATCGTGTGTCTGGAATCTTATTCAATCTCAACACAATTTTGGCTGCTATCAATGAACTTTATTTGACTTATTTTGTTCTTACAGTTCAAAGGATATCCTTATGCGAGTTGTGGCCCAAAATCTTTCTCCTGAATTGACACTTGTGGAAAAGGTTTGCTCTTCTACAATGTGATAATTGCAACTTTTTTGGGATTCAGCATCTTCCATTGTAAAATTCTGATCTATTGTAAGGTTTTTCAATAGGTTTTGATTCACGTATTGTTTTAGATTTTACCATCATAAATTGGCTGCCCGTACTGCATTCTCCTAACTTTCTTGTAGTTGCTCCTTCAATCACACTTGCAAATGTGCCTATGTTACATGATCTCTTTTGAACCTATCTATCTATAGGAAGTAAATGTTTCTATAGTTTTGAGCTTTGTTTTCTTTCCTTTTTTGCTTTTTTCCCTTTTTGGGTAAGTGTGGTTTTAGAAGAGTCATCAAAGCAACATTGTAATGCTTTTACTTTCTTAGTTTTTAAAGTTTTTAAAGAAAATGATTTTAAAACTTAAACTCAGTTCAGTAACTGGCCTGGTCCAGAACTGAGTCACAACAACTCTACTCCGAATTGTCATGCAAAGGCTTGGCCGAGTGTATTCAATTTTTAAGGCCAAACGGTGTGACTTATCTGAGTTTCATAAACTTGCCAAGACTAGCCAGGCTGCCATGTCAAGTTGACTATGGTGAGTCATATTGCGACAAGTTCTAAAACACTTAGTTAGATATGCTTTGTTGATGTGTTCCTGAAGTCCTTATTATACATATGGCCACTTCTGGTATTTGTTTTTATTTATTTATTATTCGACACCTCCAATTTGGAGTGACTTATGATACTTGCTTATTTCTCGCTGACCGAGATGGTTGTAATCAGTACTAAATAATCTTTGATTTTCTTTTATTTTTTCTTTGGTTATGGGGGTTAATGGATCTTGAATGGAATTTATACTTATGAACTTCTCAAAGAAACTAATGTTTTAAGCTCACCTACAGTTCACATAGCTTTCCACGAATCTCACTTTTATGACTAGCTAGATCTTTTAAGTCATTGAACATGTTTCTGACCATGAATGGCAAGACACGATCCCCTTGCAATTAGCAAAAAAATCAAAATGAATCCTTTGCAATTTCTTAAACTTCTGAGATGTAGTGAAATTGCTCCCTATGAACTGTTAGCGGCATTTAAGCATTGTTGACCTAACTGGCTTCATACTATGTATAGTTGCTTCCAATGCTATTTTCCAATTGTATAAGGAAACATTCTATGGCATTGCAACAATGTGCACTCTGACATCAGTTGTCCCATTAATCTACCATTTTGTTTTTGTCTAAATCAACCTGTTTCTATGTTGTATTACATGGGATACTATAAATTGGTTGCAAATGGTCAATGCAGAAAGGAGCTACAATAAGTATTGCATATACATGACTTGGATCATTTTTTGTCTCCTTGATTGAAATGAAATCCCTGGTACATATCTGATATTTATTTGAGTGTAACTTCTGTGTTTGATGCTATGGGTTTTCTTTGGCTTATCCAATTGCAAAGCTGCATGTCTAGGAAAGTCTGTTTTTCATTTCCTAATTTTTTTTCTGCTCTTTTGATTTAGGTAATGACACCAAACCCTGAATGTGCAACATTGGACCACACTATTCTTGATGCTCTGCATATTATGCATGATGGAAAATTTTTACACCTTCCTGTGTTGGACAGAGGTATGCTGTAATTCTTAGACAGACGTGCTATAATCTAGTGCTTGCAGTTTGGTGGTATTTCTGATTGATACCTCATTCATATGGTTTGTGCAGATGGAAACATAGCTGCTTGTGTGGATGTTCTGCAAATAACTCAGGCAGCCATTTCTATGGTGAGAAAATTTGCTTTCTCAACAAGTGACATTAATATTTTTGAGTCTCATTCACATGATAGGTCGCAACTTGCAAGACAGTTGTAGTAAATTCTCTTAATATAATTTTGATTGAGGAGAGATATAGTTCTTATGCTTATTTCAGATGGGAATTTGAGTAGATATAGAAGTTACTGCAAATATGACCCAAATTTGGGTATCTCCATGTTATGAATTAAGGTATATCTCCATTGTGGAGTGCTGCTTCCAACCTGTTTACTATCTTTGTGTGTACGTGTGTGTGTGGCTGCTTGTGTCTATGGATCTGGTCATTTTTGCACTTCTATTGATGGGTCTATGTTTCTTTGATTTAGCTTATAGGAATTCATCTCCATATGATTCGTTGTTCCTATAGTAGTCTTAGAATTTTTCATTTTCTATTGTGCGTTGCATCTGTTTGAATTTTATAATATTTTATTTATTTATCCATTTTGTGTCTCTGGTCGGAGAGGCTACATTATTAATTAATGGTCATGGTTTGTTGAATAGAGTTTATTAAGTTTTGGCAATAGAGCTATCTTTTCCTTTATTAAGTTTATACGGCTTATGATTTCTCTTATTTAAAATCTCTAATCATTCTGTTGACTGGGGAATTATTCATATTTTCAGTTCAGTTACTATGTATTGAGATTTCAAAATGTTATGGTTCAGACTTTCTCAATACAGGTTTCCTTCTTAAGGGTCATAAAACGAGGCTTTCGTGTCTTAGTTCTTATCTTGGTTTTTTTTTTTTTCTTTTTTGTGAAAAAATTATACATGTCTTTGACATGGGTACCATTAGATGAAAATCTTGCAACTGGTTTGTGTTGTATCTAAGTTATTATTAGTGCTGTTGATTCCTTAAAGGTTGAAGGTGGCACTGGGGCTGTGAACGATGTGGCTAACACAATGATGCAGAAATTCTGGGATTCTGCCCTTGCGCTCGAACCGCCTGAAGATGACTATGACACTCAAAGGTTGCTCTCTTTGGCTCTTGGGATATAATTTATTTTATTGAATTTACCCTTGGACAAAGAAAGGAGTTATTTCTGTTGAATTTCTACTTAACGAACATGTTATTATTGGCAGTGATGTATCTGCTTTGATGGTCGCTGATGGTATGGAGTCTGGAAGATCTGCTTATCCATCCCTGGGTCTTGGAAACACATTTTCTTTTAAGTTTGAGGATCGCAAGGGACGAGTACATAGGTTCAATTTTGGTGAGTCTACATTAAAATGATGTACAGTTTTGTTTCTGGAATTCATTATTTGGCCCCTATAACTATATTAGTTTTGTGTGCATGGTGACCGATGGTTAGGTACTGAAAATTTGGGAGAGTTGTCAAATGCTGTTCTCCAGCGAATAGGGCACTCTGAGGAGGATCGTCCACCACAGTTGTTGGTAAGGATATAATATCTCAGCTTTGTGTTTCTCTGCGTCTTCCTGTCCTATTAAAATTGATTGTATTTGTTTTGTTCTTCAAGTACCTGGATGATGAAGGGGACAAAGTCTTGCTTTCAAGTGACAGTGATCTTGTTGCAGCTACAAACCATGCTCGAATAGCTGGTTGGAAGGTAATGCTTCTTACTTTGAGTTGAATCTCATTCTTTTGTTGGGGGTTAGATATTTGGAGTGGTAACAGCCATGGGATTTTAGAGGAGAACTGGAAGTTGTCACTAAATATCAGAGTATGCTGTTTATATTGCAGTAGAGATTGCTTCAAGTTGATGGTTGCCTTGATCATTAATCTTGGTTGAACATTAACATAATGAAGGCTAATGTTATTGGAAAATTGTAGTTATGATTTGGGATTCTGTTACTATCAGTGTGCTCTTATCCTGTTGCTTGTAAATGTTACTCTTAATATTTTATTCTTTGCGGGATTCGGGGTCTTGAATGTGTAGTGGACTGAAAGGCAGTTTTTTAGAAGTTAACTATAGTAAAGGTCTTTTGGGGTCTAGTAAGAGAAAATCGATGGACTTTGGATGGTTTGTATACAAGTTTCTGAGGCTCAGGGAGTGGGTAGGTTATTCAATCATTAGTTAATGCTATAAATGAAATCTTTAATTTAGGAGGACTCACTGTCTCTTTCTCCCATGTGCTTAGTGAAGTTATGTGAAGACTTACTTGGGAAGACTTGAAAAGGAGTTACTTACTCCCTCTTCTGATTCTATTTTTCGGGTCACCCACCCTTGGTTGCTTTAGATGCAACTTGGTATTTGATTGTTTCTGTTGTTAACTATATGTAAGAAAAATTGTACAATTCTTGAACTGTTTGTGGGTTGACAAGGTTAGCGTGGTTTCTAGGGCTTTGAGGAAGATTAGTGGAAGCATAAGTCTGTTAAGAGGTGTTGAAGTTCTGATTGCTGCCATGAGCAAAGGGGATGAATCTATTGCTTATAAGTTAAGATTTTTTGGAATGTGAATTAGGCTCAAACACTCAATTTGGGTCAAATTGACTGCCTGAGTCAACTATGCTTTGAACATTAGCAAGTTTTATTATGGAAAAACTTGGGTTTGGGCTGAGTTTTCTTTAGTTTCTAGATTAGATATAGCTAAGGTTTCAAAAAATGCTAGGTGGCCCCTAGGCGGCCGGCTTGGCGCCCGCTTGGGCACCCTGTTGTACAAGTTCTATAGATATGTGGTTTATATACATATATTTGTGTCAATTTTAGTATTTAATACATTTGAAAATATTGTAAGTTTGTAACATATTTTTTCATATACGAACATATGACATATCACATATTGAGAATAAACTTGTTCAAAATTTCAAAATTCAAACCATACAAAATTTAGAAGTCTAATAGGATATGTATTACTAATAGTCTCCAACTCTCCATATTTCATAATACGTGAAATGGTTTAGGAAGCTTCTTCAAACCACAAAAAATACTTTTGATTCTCCAAAACAGGTATAGCTAAGAGATTGAGGGTTTATGGAATTTTTCTTTTAACTTTGGGGGTTAAAAATAACCCCCATAAGCTATTTAAACCTTTTTAAGGGTCAAAATTACCCCATTTTCCCTTTTGGGTATTGTTTTTTGTTTTAAAAGGCCGACGTCCTTGGGCGCCCTCCTAGGCACCCACCTAGCTTGCCTAGGCGCCCGCCCGTGCAGGTACATCTGCCCTTGTGGGGCCGCTTGGGTTTGGGCGTGTGGTATTTTGGTCCAGGCCGCCTAGGCGTTGGGCGGACCGTTTTTTAAAACAATGGATATAGCTAAGCCAGTACTAATTTGTTTTGCTGGTTTCGTGGCCCAATATGAATCCTTGCTTGAACTTGGCCGCAAATTTGAATGATGCTGATGTCACACAATGGTGTTTTTTCCTCCAAAATGAAATACCTTAGATGAGTTGATAGAGCTTCGACATCTGGCTATGCCTCAGTCAGGGACTGAGATTGAGAATTCAAACATGTACTTTCCTAGGGACAAGAGTATAGTTACTGGAATCTTCCACCCCAGGTGGCGATGTCGCTTCAGAATATCAATTCGGCGATTCGATCAACGAATCCTCATGGAACCTGATTTCTTAAAGTTAAGAATTTTGCTCCCACCTTTATAGAGTCCTGTTCTGATTTTTGGAATCCAGATTCCCCAGCATCAAAAACTTTGGTTTATAGAATCCCGTTTTGATTTCTGGGAAGAGCTTTACCTTGAGGCCTTGGCCCCTCCACATTGTTGGTGCATTGGCGGAGATTTCACTACTACAAGATGGTCATTCAAGCGAAATTCTAACTCGACGATCTCCCAATGTAAGTCGGATTTTCTGATCTGCTCTGACCTGCCTCCCAAGGAGCCTCACCACTCCATCAACCCCACTCTTTCAAAACTCGATCGTTTTCTTATCTCTTTGAACTGGGATGCCAAATTTCCTGGTTCACATTCCCTAGCCCTCCCTAAGCCCACTTTGGATCATTGCCCTATCTTGTTAGACATTGTTCCAGCCCCTCGATAGTCCAAGCCCTTCAAGTTCGAGCTGGCTTGGTTAGAGGAGGATAACTTCTATAACCTTTTTTGCACTTGGTGGACCTCTTTTTCTATCCAAGTCTACAGATGGGCAGGGTTTCGGCTCCAAAAGAAGCTTGAATGCCTTAAAGGTTGTCTTAAAACTTGGAACTTCCGGTCCCATAAGGCTTCTCTTCTCCATTCAATCCAATTGTTACTCTACAGGGGAGTTTCGTCCTCTTGCTGAAAATGAGAGATTTCTCCGATCCAATGCCAAGTTCGAACTCCAACTTCTCTTAAAGAAAGAGGAAATTTTTTGGGCCCAGCGGTCAAGAGTGAAATGGCTTAAGCACGGTGACCTCAACACCGGCTTTTTTCACAAAATGACCAATTGTAGAAGAAGGAATAATACCATTACTCAGATTAGAGTGGGAGATAAAATCACTGATCATTTTCAGAAACTTTTTGAGGCACCCCGAGGCCCTAGACCCTTTTCAAAGATCTTTCTTTCCTAGCCATCTCTCCCACTTCTGCTGGCTGGCTTGAGAGACCATTTGAAGAGTCCGAGATCTTAAAGGAAATCTAAGATCTTGGCCAAGATCGAGCCCTGGGCCCTGACAGATTCCCAATCTCTATTTTTAAGATTTTTGGGAATCTTTAAAAGAGGATATCCTTGCCTTCTTCCACGAATTCCATTCTAGAGGAATCATTCATCGTGCAATGAATGCTACTTTCATTGCACTCATTCCTAAGTCGAGGGTGTGGAAGAACTCAAAGATTTTAGACCTATTAGCTTGATCAATAGCTCTTATAAGATTCTTGCCAAGTACTCGCTTTGAGACTGCGAGAGGTCCTCAGCTCGGTGATCTCGCCAACTCAAGGAGCTTTCGTTAAAGACCGTCAAATTCTCGATGGAGCATTCGTTGCCCATGAGGCTATCCTCTCTCGGCTTGGTGCCAAGCTACCTATTTTAATCATCAAACTTGATTGGGAGAAAGCTTATGACCATGTTGATCGGTCCATCCTTGACGAGAGTCTCCGTCGCATGGGCTTCAGTAGTCGATGGAGAGCTTGGATCAAAGGTTGCATTTCAGGCCCCCAATTCTCCATTCTTATCAACAGTTCTCCCAAAGGCTTCTTCCCATCCTCTAGGGGACTCTGTCAGGGAGATCCTCTTTCCCCCTTTTTGTTTGCAATTGTAGCTGAAATCTTCAGTAGGTCTATCTCTCGTGTTTACCAGGCTGGCTTGCTCACAGGATTTAAAATCAGCAATTCAGGACTACTGATTACTCACTTACAATACGCCGACGATACCTTGTTGTTTTGTGAGGCGATGCAGGCACAACTCAACGCTCTTCATCTTTTCCTCAAGATTTTCGAGATGACCAGAGGCCTTAAGGTCAATAAGGTCAAATCTAAGATGAGTGGTGTTGCCTTGGACCCCTCTATCGTGAGGTACTTTTCTTCAATCTGGGGTTGCTCCGCGGAGGATCTGCCATCCTCATATCTGGGACTGCCCCTTTGCATAGGAAAGCCTAGACTGAATCTATGGAGCCATATCATTGATAGATATGACCGTAGATTGGCAGGGTGGAAAGGCAGATTCCTTTCTCCTGCTGGCTGCCTTACGTTGATAAAAGCCACCCTCTCGAGTTCCCCTACTTTTCAGATGTCGCTATTCCATATGCCAGCCTTGGTGGCCCACCGTTTGGAGCAGCTAATGAGGAACTTTTTGTGATCCAGCAATGGGGATAAGAAGATCCATCTAATATCTTGGCAGAATGTATGCAAACCTAAATCTCTAGGGGGGGCTGGGCATTAGAACCCTCAACGAGAATAACCTTTCATTACTCGGGAAATGGTGGTGGCGCTTAGCTACCCAAAGTTGTGGCAGGAGGTGATCAATTCGAAATACCGCAGTTCTTACCCTTCCTGGGTCCCCTCGTGACGAGCCCGTAGCAACTCCTTGGGGATATGGAAATCTTTACTGGGTTTTTACCCACACTTTTTGTCCAAGATCAGGTACAGGCCTAGGCAGGGCGACAAAACTCTCTTCTGGATCGATACTTGGCTGGAGAATGCACCCCTTAAAGACCTCTACCCTAGACTTTTTTTTCTGGCCTGTGACTTAAACGCAATGGTGGAATCCTAGTTTCAGCTGATGGGCAATAGGAGGGTGTGGTGCCTGTGCCCCATCCTCAGAAGACCACTCTTGGACCCAGAATTTCAGGATTTCACAGCCCTCTCCAATGCTCTAAATTCTGTCTTCTTGCCCCTCCAGGGCCAAAACAGCCTCATCTGGACCCCTAACCACTCGAGTTCCTTCTCGGTGGCCTCCTTCTACTCTTCTCTAGCTCATCCCAGAAGCCCCCCGTCTGCCCCACTTCGATCGTAAACAAAGTTCGGATCCCTTTGGTCCCCCCCAGGGTACAATTTTTCAATGGGATAGCTGGGTCCGAGAGAGCCCTTAACGTGGATCAATTACAGAGAAGGGGTCTACAAATTCCGAACAGATGCATCATGTGCACTGAAGATGAGGAGACCAATGCCCACCTCTTCATCCATTGCAAGTTCGCCTCAGCTATTTGGGCTAACATCCTTCAGCTATTCCGACGGCAGTGGGTCAT